GATTTCTTAAAGCTTACGGGGGGTTTTACTTGAGTAGCGTGAGGGTTTCGAACTTCGTCTTTGACGCAGATAGAGTAGATGATGAGTAGACGTATTACACGTATAGATTTCTTTAATTCGGTGTTCAAATATAGCAACAATCAATAGACAATCAAACGAATTCGAATTTGGTGTCCTCTTGTTCCTCAAGTAGCGTCCAGTATCTTTTCTTCGGGAATCGTTTTCTTAGTTAGCGTGAATAAATTGATCCTTACTGATCGGTCGACTGTTCAATTTGATCTATCACCCGAGCCCCCTATGCATGTGACGTAACAAATACATGCCCAGAGGCTTGAATGACGTTTCAAACTAACAGATATTATATCTACAACTTTCATAATATTGTCCGTAAGGGAACGCCATACATTGGGTAATGATACCCTAAACGAGGCTAAAATCCAAAATCAATTACTTTCATTTGGAAAAAAGAATAACACGTCGACTCGTAAATTCGCATTTTTATTGGAATTTGGATGGCAAATGTCATTGGTCGCTCGCTCGTCTCGCCATGGCATTCCCTTTTTGGAATATTCCCTACAAGTATTGATCTTGTGTTTGGTATCAAATATATGCAATTCAACGAAATTTAATTGCAATATGTGTAAAGTTGACCGCCAAGTGTTTCCCTATTGTACAAGACTTGAGTGAAATACACCTATATAGTTCAAGTCAAGTTACAAACAGGTCAAGAACCACACTTCAGGTAAACCTAGACAAAAAATTTAATGACTTGTACTTTCATAGGTTTTACAACGATGAACTCTATTTACTATAATATAATACAACAGTTTATGTATAAAAATTTGTCTTAACGATGCTGTGATAATTGTAGCACAAAGTTCAAGCATCAAAAATGCGTAAAAAAGGAACCACGTGTCTATTGTGTGATTGCGTAATTGGACTTCAGGCTCTTTATGTTAACTCTGAAACGCTGTCTCTACAACAGATCCACTCGACATATAATTACGAATGAACGGTGTTTTTCATTTTCAATGAGTTGTCTTAGGCACCACTGGAACGGCCGTTTAAATGTGGGCAATGGCGTCTCTTCTGTGGATGATGGTTACGCAGTCTTAGACTAACAATGGAAATTTTTGAAACTCTTGCTCAGCGTCATGTAATAAACTTGCGAGCTCGCGCTGGTCTTCGAGGCAAAGAAAATCTAAACGGAGGCAGAAACAAACATATAACTCTTACTCGGCATTGGGTCGGAGACTGCGCTTATCTCCCGTCTGTGTATAAACGGAAGGAGCACAAGAATTCCCTGGCCGGTACAGCTAAGTCTGTCACAGGTAGTTTTCCCAACAGAAGCTCCTCTCATCTACTATCGGAATAAACTATCTAAGTAAACAGAACAAACGTAATTTTTTCTGTTAACCCCCCCCCCCCCTCGCAGCGAAGCTTTCCCCTTTTGTGACGTCTTCAAGTTAAGCCCTACAGTCTTCGAGTTATACCCGGCCACGCCCAAACCACACCAACTTTCGTCAAGGACTTAACTCAAACAAAGAAACTCGCAGCGCGGCACTCTTTCTAAACCTTGTCAACATGGTAAGTCAGTAACGCCACTCTAACACGGAGTGGTATATAACATATAAAACCGACCTTGTTGTATACAACTTTCGAAACTAAATTGCTGTAATCTTCCAAAATTATTTTAATTATTTTGATTATTTCCGCGAATGATCTAATAGTACTAGGACTCTCTCCTAGGACTAGACTGGGCGAGTCGAATTTGCGTCGCTCATTTACATGATTCAGGGGCTTAACTCGAGTATCAAATGCCTTAATATGACTTACTTCGAGTTAAGCCCCTGTGTTTTATACTGCTTAACTCGAAATTCTGATTCCTTCTTCGAGTTAAGCCCTTGACGAAAATGAGTTTATCATGCATGAGTGCGGTTAGAACGTAGCGGAGGCAATATTTCCTTTCTATTGAATGACTGAATCATTAAATCCAAGGTATGACATCATCTTCGCTATTTATGGTAAAAGCAGCGGACAACTTCCTAATTCCCCATTATATTTGCTTACATGAACGTTTCGTACATAGATATAGGAGATCTAGATTGCTGACGCATACCTAGCGCAGGCGGGGCCTACATGATAAATCCAAGATGGCGGTACAAGAGGGCAGAAAGACTATAGATTCTATTACGAAAATCAGGGTTTTTTGCAGTTTTTGCCGTCGCATAGTTTCGAAACTTATTCGGTCAAGTTTTATGGTAAAGAGAAACTTACCGCGAAGATTTTGAGCGTATATATGATTGAATTGGATGAAAACTCGCAAAATTATCCATCGATAAAAGATCGTGTGAAATGGTCACTTGGTCAGTTCGAGCGTTTCATTGCCAGAAATACTGTGCTATGTTAACATCTAGCCTTGTAAATGGTATTTTATACTGTTTAAACGTAAAATCTAGTTTAGGATTATATACTTCCCGCCGTTGTGAACGTAAGATTGTTTTTAACGTCAAAACACGCCGTTTAATAATTTTATAGTTTGCTAGTCGTTTCCAAAAAGGATGAGTTCAGACTACCATAGCTCTTGAAAGAAATCAGACTGCCGGCATGGAAAAGCATGATTGACCATATGTGTGATCAGGCAAGGAAGGTTGGCTGTTATTCTCCACAATTAAAAAATGAATGCACAGTACGCAAGAAATTTCAGTATTAATAGAATATCAATGCTTTATTTTCTAACAGGGCCGCCCAGAGGGAGGCAGAGAGCAGTTAGGGCAATTTGCAACTGGACCCCCAAAAAGCTCTGGGCAGCTCTGTCTTTTAATACTTGACCATTAACTCATTCAAAAATAGTTAAATATTTCATAGCATTTTAGTGAAAATATGATGAGAAGATTATTGTGAAACAATGTTAATTAAGGACTGCTACTGGTATGTCATTGCCATAGTCAGGAAGGGGCTGCTCATTACATCGAAGGGGGGGGGGGATAATTATGAAACATATCATCAAGTTCATTCATTGTAGAAACAATTTAATGCAACTTTAATAAACAAATTTCAAATATCATGGCCATATGGTGTTAAACAATATTATAGTACTATATATGTAACTTGTACAGTTTTGCTTTTTTGCTCACTATTTGCATAAAAAGCAAATTATAACAGACCATAGATGATAGACTCTCATCCAGTGCCCTCCAGGCATGGATTTTCTGGACCCCCCAGAAATGATTTGCACCCCCCCCCCCAGAGGCATTTGCCACTGCCCCCAAAAGTTTTTGCACCCCCTCAAATTATATATAATTTGATTTGAAAGTTTCATACTTGATTATTCTTACTACTAAATTTATAAAATTACCAATATTATGGTCTCAGATCTCATTATTTTTCATAATTATGGGGATGGAGCAGATGATGACAAGTGATGACAATCGGGGCAGGTCAGTTAAAAAAGTGCTTATATATTATTGAACAACTCCTTATGTTCTAAAATATTATACAATACTGCATTTCAACAAATATATATATATCCATCAAACTTGTTTGAACTAAGAAATATGATTTTACACTTGCATACTGTATAGTCTGCATAAATAATAATAAGTAATATTTTTTACTTGCCACACTATTTATTTATTTTGTCCAAAAAGTAAATCAAAGAAAATTTAGTATTTACAAGAATTGGGGCTAGCTGGCTAGGGACCTAACAGAAACCACATGGCTACCATTTAAGGCCCCTATTCCCTAGATCACATATTTACAATAATTAAAATATAATATGCCAGTTCAAATGTTTATAAAATACAATTCCACTTAAGTATTATGCATACTGAAAAATACAAAAAAAAATGTGGCAGTTACCTAAATGACAGGTACAATAACACAATTATAATTTTATATTGAAAAAGAATATAGTTACTGTCATAGACTCATAAGCATGGTTTTTACTCCAAAATATCAGCTATCGGATACCTATCTATAAAAGACGTAAAACCATAAATCCATTCAAAATACACTAAACAATCTTGACTGGACAGTATAAATACAATATATGTCCATTTCATGATTCCAAAATCCAAGTCTTGGGCATTCTTGACCTGAGCGAATACGACCACCACAATTATTTCTCATGCTATTTCTCTACTGCAGCTTTCACAATGTTTGTTGCAAGTGTAAAATACCATTTACAAGGCTAGATGTTAACATAGCACAGTATTTCTGGCAATGAAACGCTCGAACTGACCAAGTGACCATTTCACACGAACTTTTATCGATGGATAATTTTGCGAGTTTTCATCCAATTCAATCATATATATGCTCAAAATCTTCGCGGTAAGTTTCTCTTTACCATAAAACTTGACCGAATAAGTTTCGAAACAATGCGACGGCAAAAACTGCAAAAAACCCTGATTTTCGTAATAGAATCTATAGTCTTTCTGCCCTCTTGTACCGCCATCTTGGATTTATCATGTAGGCCCCGCCTGCGCTAGGTATGCGTCAGCAATCTAGATCTCCTATATCTATGGTTTCGTACCTAAAGGAGGTTGTACTTGTAATAAGATGCTTTTATGGTTATATAGATTTACCTTTTCATTTCTTTCGCAAAGGAATGTGAATGCTTGTACTCTTTTATGCATAAAAACTCCGTCTAAATGTCCTGTTTGAACTGACCGAACTTCAATAGCTTTCTCACCCCAACCCATTACTTGGCCTGTACCAACATGAGCTACGAGGCAAAGTACAAAGTTAGTTTTAAGGCAGGCCTACACGTTACGATTAGTCGTATACGATTCTTATTCTGGCGTATGTAATCTTTTTAGATGGAAAGCCCAAACGTTTATATATCTCGATAGAAAGATATGGGTCAGGTTTTTTGGGCACAGAGTCAGACACGTCTAAATAAGGAGCGGAACATTAGAAAAGGCTTTTTTTCTGAAGTGATGTCAATATATAAACTCGCAATTTCAGTGGTCTCCACTGGATTGTTAAAAATTTCGAGATCAAGAATTGTAAAATATATATTGGCATATACTGTTTGATACATTTCTAAAATCTAAATAATCGAAAATATATTCTCTTCCAGAATTAGCTTCGATTAGGCGTAAAAAAAATACCTGTGGTTCCGGTTTCATATCGCGAAAAAATTATGGTCAGTAGGTTGGAAATAATTTTTTTTTGAATATTTTTTCATGGTTTTTTCAATAATTAGTGTGACAACAGACGCCATTTTGGCAGCAGCCCGCAACCACCCGGAGAAAATAGGTTCGCAACAGTCAATCGCGTTGAAAAAATAATAGGGTCGGCAGAAAAAAATAGGGTCGGTCGGGAACCGGAACCACATGTATGTTTTTTTACGCCTTACAACATTCAATCGAATTAAAAATCAGCAGTAAAATTACTTCGAATCAACCAAACGAGACAGGGTGACATCATAGACATACAGTAGTATAAATTCTCGCGATCTACGCGGTTCTGAATTCGAAGTACTCGGAATTATTTAAGGCAAATAAATGTTAAAATGCGACTAACCACAAATATAGTTTTTGGTATGTGTAATACTTGGGTCATTCTAAGAAGAAATGTAATATACATTTATAGTAAAAAACCTCATCTTGATCAACGTTTTAACTGTCAAAGTTTCCGGATATGATGTCATTAGGTGAATTTTCGATGCAAAAAACAAAGCAGGGTTCGTACATGTCAGGAAGAGTCAAATTCAAGGACTTTCCAAGGACATTCAAGGCCATATATCAGCAAATTCAAGGACTAAATACTGAAGAGAAGGCGTTAGAAATCAGTAAAATATGACGTTGAATTGTTCAAAACGTAACTTTATAATGAGGTCAGATATGAACATGCAAAATCAGTTCAACAAAATGTCCGTCTTGAATGTCAAACAATTTCAGAAAATATCCAAAAACTAAAGCAAGAAGAATTCAAGGACATTCAAGTACTTCTTTACAAATTCAAGGACATTCAAGGCCTTGAATTTTTGTTTTCAAATTCAAGGACATTCAAGGACTTTCAAGTTTTGTACGAACCCTGACAAAGGAAAACTAATTTGCAATTCACCTAATGACATCATATCCGCAAACTTTGGCAGTGAAAAAGTTGATCAAGATGGGATTTTTTATTGTAAAGATATATTACATTTCGTCTTCGAATGACCCAAATATTTGTGGTATAAATTATATTTGTGGTTAGTCGCACTTTAACATATCCTTTAACCACATTGCGCACATGAAGAATTCGATGCCTGAAATGTGCCTAAGTATAATATTCACTTTAGCCAATTAATATTGTCTTACCAACAGCATATGGTGTTTCGCCCCACTGCATCACAGCATGTTTGACTAAACTACCAGAATTGTTTACGTAAACACCTTCGTCTATAAACAAAGACAGAGAGGAAGAAACATTATAATTAGAAAATAAGAATACTATAAAACAATCACAACTATTCTTTTCTACTTACTATTGAAACAAAGAAGTAACTCTCGTCCGTTTGATTCTGGATAAGAAATAGTGGAAATTTGTATCAGTATAGCACAATAAGTGTACTACCATGCAGCAATTCATGCAGTGCGACGCCGGATATTAGTGGGGTGGGGCAACAACCCCCATGATTTCTGAAAACCCTTGAATGATAGCTGAATATCTGTGTAACAAAGTTGTAGCAATACCTTTCCAACCATGAATGCATCGGTAGGCTATAAATTAAGCTATATGTTGCAGACATGTAAGGTAACAGTTTAAAGAACTAAGATTTCCAGCTACAAAAGGTGGTCATATGTTGGAACAGGATCCCCCCCCCCCTCCCTCCAATATTTCGCGAAGTTCCTGCCTCTGCTACAAATGGTAAGTTAAAATAAATTACCTGGTAGAGGAATAATGGCATGTGCTTGAAAACATTCAGTTAACTAAAATAAACATGAAAGTATTGAAATTAACAAACATCCGATTATGTAATATTCTTCAGGGTCGAAAATTCCCTAAAATCTACAATTAGGAGTGGTTGATAAAGAATCGATTACAATTTCAAAACTCACATGTGATGGTATGTACAAATCATAAACAGAAGCAGAGTCTAGGTCGACACCATGAAATCCTGAAATAAAAAGTCAACTTAATCGTCGAAGTATATTCTGTGGATAGAGAATTTCAGTATAAATAATACGCTGTTCTTCACACAGGCTACGACGTGCCGTGAACTGACGGAGACTGGGTTTTTTCCCTCACATTTGAACGACGAAAAGGGATTTGGCAAAGTCTTGGCACAATTTGGTCACATGACTTGCAATTGTGGGCTATAGCCCTGGTCTAAGGGCGCAATTCCAGTCCTCGCACGAAGCTCCTCGCAGCTCGCTGCGAGTGCATGCATGAGCACTTTCATCCAATCACAATGCTTAAGAGGTAATTTTAAGTAGATGCAAGCACTCGCAGCGAGTTGCGAAGAGCTTCGTGCGAGGACTGGAATTGCGCCTTAAGCCAAGCTTTGCAGCGCACACCTGTAAAACAACACCAACCACATATGTTGATTACGCTATTTTTTTAATTTTATTTTTTTATTTTTTTAAATTTTTTTTTACAATCTTTGTCTAGTTTAACCCACAGAGCTAGTTGCTCCTTTACGGGTAACCTGTTAATGCAATACTAAAATATAGGTTAACATAGTGGATATATCGCTTCAAAATCGCTAATCACTGAGACGTTTGATTTAATGTGGTCCTGAGCAATTCTAATCATGTGGAACGAAAAAAATTTCATTTAAATTTCACATGCTCACTAAAAAGTGATATTTCCACTGGGTTAACAGCAACTAATGACAACACAGTTTGACAGAAAGACTGGACAAGGGACGACACAAATGACACTTTACACACACTGTTTTAAACGTTTGTGGAACATCAATGTCGTAGACC